GTAGCTTCTATATGTATATATTACATGTATTGCTAATTTGTCAATGTACTAATCTGTTAAAATTCTATAACACGGCTAAATTTGATATTCAAATGTTATCAACTCTTGCAGCAGTCACCTATATACCTTATAGCAAGAAAGATAATGTTTTCAGCACCAAGCAGAGACTTACACACAATAGATATAGTATTATTACTGTGTAACTGTTTTGGAATTTCAAAATGCATACCTAGGATATGGGCATTGCCTACATTCAGCAGAACAGAGTATTATGTAAGACAGGTATTTCAAGGCTTACAAACAATGGAAATAACATTTTCCTGTTAAATGTTTGGCATTTATAAAGTCCAGTCTATGATAAAGGCATGCCTACCTTCAGCATGTTAAGTTCAATGGTAGACAGATATTTGGCGACTTACAAGCTCAGTAAGTAGTGTTTCTATGTTATGTCAGGGTGTGTTTGTGGCTGTGGATGTTTTATGCAGGTGCCAGTACGCTGGCTGTCGGAGAAGGTGCAGACACAACATGGGTAACAGCTAATATCCCTATTACACGGCCATTTACCTGATGGCCAGGCTTTACCTCCCTGTACACAGACCTGCCCAACTCATAACCATTCTCATAAGTTATATCAGATGGTCTCTTTACCCAGATGGGGGAAGCTTTGGAACAGATGTTTCAGGCTGTTGAGGAGATGTTGGAAGGGGGAGACAAAGGGAGGGGGGTTTCTGGTAGCACTATTTTAATTGGGCTTTGTAACTGTGTGTTTTGTTTGGGATATATAGTCATTGTTGTACCACAATCTAGTCAGGACTTACTGGACATTGAGTGACCAGAACTCACAGGGACTGGACAATGACAGGGGATGAGTACATAGGTGATGTCCTGGTAGGTTGTGTAAAAAGATGATAAAGACTTACCAACTATTAATATGTTAGACGGTAATTGTGACTAATGTGTGAACTAGTATTACATTGTGCTATCATTTCTGAAAGCATGTTGTCAATTCTGAAGATTATAAGTAATAATTGAGTTTCTCTATACAAAACTAGCTTTGTCACAAATTGTAGTGACAAACCTTTATCTGTTGTTGGACTGGGCTGGGTGACTGCCATTGACCAGCTAGCACAATTTGTTAGAGCATCTCTCTAGAGTTTGGAGGGTCCAGTGTTAGAATCCCAGTTTAGCCAGCTGTTTCATTGTCCTTCTGTAACAGTGGTGCCTGTGACCAACTCCATAATGTTTCATGTAGTTGTATGTGTACCTGAACCTGAATAGTATTTTCTTTCGACTTTGAAACACAGGGATTGTATGTAATGGGACAGGGCTGTAGGTGACCTAAGCCAGCTGTTTTGGGTGGAACATCTATCTGGAGTTACGAGGACCCTGGTTCGAATCCCAGCCTGGCCCAGTCACATTTTCCTTCTCCCATTACATCTCGATGAATTACCAGGTTTACCAATAGGTACAAACTTAAATGTACCACTATACATTTTAGCATTTCCTGTGGGTACAAACGTCTATGTAATGATATAATATTACCTACAGACCTAATCAAGGATTCACATGTTTTACCTGTTCATACAAATGTACATATAATGATTTATTATCGCCTGTACAGAATTATATCTAACAACAGGTACAGACCTAATCAAGGATTCACATGTTTTACCTGTAGCTCTAAACCTTCCCTAATCATCCCCGAGTGTTTCACATGTGTTCAGAATCAAAATGATTTCCTGGTTAAGTTGACTTGACAGTCTGGTGCGCTGCCAGGCAGGGCTCTCAGTAAGAAATGGTGTTTTGTGGAGAAACAGGGGTATACCTCATTTACAAAAGATAATGAAAAAGTCTATATATTAAGGGAAAGATTATGTTGGATCTCCGAACCGTTTCCTAGGTGTATTAATTAATGATATACACAAGATTTTCTCTGACTATGATGAACACAAGGAGTCGGGAGAACGTTTGGGATGGTGCCTAGGTCGGTGTGATTACCATTGGGAGGGTTGAAACTACTACAGTTATGATAGATTGCGTATTTCATCAGACTTCAATATTCTGTAAAATAATTACTATACTTATAATAAGTTTAGTAAGGAAAGTCAATTATATAAATCATAATTTTAATTTTTCATTAGGAAATTACTTGAAAGTAATGAATCATATATCACACTTGTACATGATATAGAATATGGAGAGAAACTCAAGACACATAGTAAATCAAATTTGGGGGAAAAGACGTACAAGTCTATTTCTAAAGCAACGTTTCGGATACAAGTGGAAGCAGAATCTTAAATTAGTTTATTTAAATGAGAGAAATTCAATAACGCATCATACTTCAGCTTTTACCAAAAAATTTACATGTATGGAAATTATTCTATTCTCTTTTGGATTTGAAGTGAAAAACAATCCTAGATGTAATTATGACAATATAATGAAAGTATAATTCTATACTGGTATTCCTTCTAAAATATAATTTGTGTTTATGTTCCATTGCTGGCAAGTTTGTATCTGAAGTACCAAGCATTGCTACAGTAATGAAAGTTCAATAATATGTTTGTGTTTCAGAATAGTCCCATATATTGGTGTTTTTTAAATCAATGGTTAGTGGTACCATTTTGGGTCAACCATCGTATAGAGTTGAGGGATAATGTCTGGCCTGATGATTTCCCCAGGATACAATAACACCAAGGCTCAACAGGGAGCACTACCACTGTTGTCTGAGCATCAATCAGTCAAGGTTGGCGGCTTTATGGCCAAACATGAGATGCTACTCCATGACTAATATACTCTGTAGCAATATACCTTATACCAGTCAAAGCGTTTCAGCCCGTCACTGGAAATATACTCCTGTAGTAGGAGAAAAAGAAATAGTAATAGCCTGACCAGGATTCGAACATTGGACCCTCCAAACTCTAGACTGACTCTCTACCAGTTGGGCTTCCTAGCCCCAACAATCAATCCAGTCTACAACTCAGATTTGCCTATCCCCTTGCCAAACACTCACCCAGTACGTAAAGCAAGGGTTGGGAAGCTCACCTATTTTGTGATAGGAGAAAGAGTGAACCTGGATGGTCTAGGCAGATGCTCTACCAGTTGAGCTACTTGCAATTGATCCTGTCAAGTCCTTCTACACTCTAATTCCATGGCAATATATGCTTCATATCTGTCAAAATAGCCCTACAGTCTCTGTGACTGGTAAATACTATTGTAAGGTAGGAAAGACAGTAATGTTCTTCCACTGGGGATTGAACCCGCCACTCCATCTTCCCAGTTCGCCGTTCTACCTATTGAGCTGCAGAGAAATTCCCCCTAGGAGAAAGGTAGAAGGTGATCGTAATCCTATGTCCAATTAAAATGTGCCAAACGACTCCTGTTTACTCTAGAACACTACAACAAGCCAGGTTCTAACTCCCAGCCACAACAGCCTTGGACACCTTTTGTAACAGGAAAGAGAGCAATGTGCTTCCAGCGGGGATCGAACCCATAGCCTCAAGCTTCTCATTCCACCGCTCCACAGAGTGCAAAGCTAGAAGGCGAGGATAATCCTATGAACAAATAAAACCTGCCATATTCCGACACTACAACAGTAACCTTATACCAGTTAGTAGTAACTCGACCTGCTCAATTCTATAATGTCCCCCAAGAGGAAGGAATCTTGCACAATACGTTTCTTGATTTTGAATTATTTGACCTTGTTAAGTTTTTGCAATTATGTGTGTATTTGACTAATTAGTGCAGCTAGGATCACTTAGCTTCACATGCTTTCACATCTCTTAGGAACTTTTTTTCTTAACTTAATCTTTGACCCCCATGACCATGTTTTTACATTTAGGTCAGTTATGGACAGAGTAAATGTAAAGTCTATATACAGTCTTCCTATCCTTGTTTTTCTCCTACCATATTTCCTTGTTATCCCTTCTTTTCCCATTTTTAGATACAGCCAGTAAAGACTTGTCCCTGACTTAATTTATTGATAAGATAGCTCCCATTTTAGCCGCCATTCCTGGCACTGTACTAATTAGTATTGGAGGTTTGTGATGTCCTGATGGCCTGAGTAAAGAGATATTCTTTGAGATACCTCGTTATTTACCTGCCGTCATGGCTGCCCTTGTGTATACGTAGTCAAACCAAAATGTTGATGTTATAAAGATTGTTACTAGTTGTTCTACGTTGCTCTGTTGTGTTGTAATAACTTGGGTGAAAGCTACCATATATCCCACACTTTGAAGTCTCCCTATTTCAATTGGAACCCTACATTTTCCAATAAAAAAAAAATCTGTTGGAGAAATGAAGAGAAATTTAAGCTGCACAAGCTGCATTTATTAACAAAGGAATGTCATGATGACCGTAATCTACATATTGGAGAGTGCAAGTGTTCGGAATTTTGAGTTAGTATTTGCGATAATGTGAGTAAGTGTTCGTATTGTAAGTATTGAGGTTTGTGAGTTAAAGTGAGTTGGATTGTAAGTATTGAGGATTGTGAGTAAGTGAGTAGGATTGTAAGTATTTGGGATTGTGAGTAAGTGAGTGGGATTGTAAGTATTGAGGATTGTGAGTAAGTGAGTAGGATTGTAAGTATTGAGGATTGTGAGTAAGTGAGTGGGATTGTAAGTATTTGGGATTGTGAGTAAGTGAGTTGGATTGTAAGTATTTGGGATTGTGAGTAAGTGAGTGGGATTGTAAGTATTGAGGATTGTGAATAAGTGAGTAGGATTGTAAGTATTGAGGATTGTGAGTAAGTGAGTGGGATTGTAAGTATTTGGGATTGTGAGTAAGTGAGTTGGATTGTAAGTATTTGGGATTGTGAGTAAGTAAGTAGGATTGTAAGTATTTGGGATTGTGAGTAAGTGATTTGGATTGTAAGTATTGAGGTTTGTGAGTGTTTGAGATTGCAAGCAAGTGTCTTTGATTATGAGAAAGTCTCTGGGATTGAAAGTAAGTGTCTGCGTTTTTGAATATAAGCTAGAAACTGACTGGAGGTTGTGCTGTTTCAGGCCCTACTACAGGCCCACGACGTGGTGGCTCACGAGGTATATGGAGAAGATGCCGTCCGAGTCACCCCCCCACCAATGCAGCCTTACCTTAATGGAGACAGCCAGCCTGACAGTCCCGACACAGACATGGAACCCTCCAACGTGACACGTGTACGCCTCGTACAGTTCCAGAAAAATACTGAGGAACCAATGGTGGGTCATTTACTACATGTTTTGTATTCGATTTGAACATGATTGTGTTACGAGGTATTAATCCAACAGTTACACATATGCATGTTATATTTCTAAATCAATGCGTACCTTAGTTAAGCTGAGGTCTGGTGACTCCACACTACTAACCTCATGTAAATTAACACAGGGCCGCCTTCGTTTATCGCGATCCAAACGGTTGGACCGGATCATTTTTAGCTCACCTGGTCCGAACTACCATGATGAGCTTATGCCATACCACAGCGTCCGTCGTCCGTCCGTCAATTTTTCATATAAAACGCTACTATAGTCATGAACAAATAAGCAGATTTTAACCAAATTTGGTCAGAAGCATACTTGGGGGAAGGGGAACAATTTTTGTACCAATGGTGGGTCTGGCCCCCCTGGGGGCTGAGGGGCGGGGCCAATAGGGGTAAAATAGCAAATTCTTTAAAATCCTTCTTCTTCTGTAGGAATGAAAGGATTTATTCAATATTTGGTCTGAAGCATCCTTGGGTGATGGGGAACCAATTTTGTATAAACCGTGGGTCTGGCCCCACAGGGGCCTGAAGGGCGGGGCCCAATAGGGGAAACATAGCATATTTTCTTCAAAATCCTTCTTCTTCTGTAGGAATGAAAGGATTTGGTCCATATTTGGTGTGGAGCATCCTCGGATAAAGGGAAACCAATTTTGTTGTATAAACGGTGGGTGTGGCCCCCCTGGGACTTGAAGGGGGCGCAATAGGGGAAATAGAGGTAAAACCTTTATAATCCTTCTTTTACCATAGGGAGGGATTAATTGGGATATTATCCCAATTTAGTCTGGAGCTATCTTGGGCAAAAGGGACCTTATTTCGTATAAACAGCGAGTGTGCCCCCCTGGGGGCAGAAGGGAGGGGCCCAATAGGGGAAATATAGCAAATTCTTCAATGGCAGGATTTTGTCAAAATTTGGGATGAAGCACCTTTGGGTGAAGGGGAACCAATTTTGTATAAACAGTGTGTCTGACCCCCCTAGAGGCAGAGAGGCAGGGCCCAATAGGGGAAATAGAGGTAAGACTTTTAAAATCTTTCTTCTACCATAAGGATTAAGGGATTGTATCCTAATTTAGTCTGGAGCATCCTTGGGTCGAGGGGGCTCAATTTTGTATAAATGGTGGGTATGACCCCTTTAGGGCATAGGGGTGGGGCTCTGTTTGAAGTTTGTTCTTGCTATATCTCAAGTACTTGATGGATCTTTCTGAAATTTCATATGTACTTACAGCACCTACCATGGAGTGCTATATCTTTACTTAATTCATACCAATTATTTTAAATATATATTCAGGTGAGCGATACAGGCCCTCTGGGCCTCTTGTCTATTTTATGTCAGGAATGTTTCCTTTAGTTATATTGAGGCAGGACCTGTGGGCTACCAGCATACACAATTAGTGTCTATACCTGATAACCAGGCCCGGGAGAACCGAACCCCATCAAATTTGTTTTATGAGGTTTTGTTCAGAAATATTAATGCCATCTAATTACATTTAGTAGAATTAGTTCGTTACTGATTAAACCCTCTTCCTAAAGATCATGTCCTTGGGCTTACCATATGACCAGGGTCAGATACAGGTCAAGGTTGTAGTTGAAATTAGATTTTATGTGAGAACAAGGCTATACAGCCGTTGATAGAGGGATCAGTCTCATGTATAGATATAATGGGACCAGTCTCACATATAGATATAATTGGATCAGTCTTTTGTATAGATATAATGGGACCAGTCTTACATATAGATATAATGGGACCAGTCTTGTGTATAGATATAATGTGACCAGTCTCACGTATAGATATAATTGGACCAGTCTCACGTATATGTATAATGGGACCAGTCTCACATGAAGATATAATGGGACCAGTCTCAATAGAGGGATCAGTCTCATGTATAGATATAATGTGACCAGTCTCACATAAAGATATAATGTGACCAGTCTCATGTATAGATATAAAGGGACCAGTCTCATGTATAGATATTATGGGACCAGTCTCACGTATAGATATAATTGGACCAGTCTCATGTATAGATATTATGGGACCAGTCTCACGTATAGATTTAATGGGACCAGTCTCACATATAGATATGATGGGACCAGTCTCATGTATAGAGATAATGGGACCAGTCTCATGTATCGATATAATGGGACCAGTCTCACATATAGATCTAATGGGACCAGTCTCATGTATAGAGATAATGGGACCAGTCTCACATAAAGACATAATGGGACCAGTCTCATGTATAGATATACTGGGACCAGTCTCATATATAGATATATTGGGACCAGTCTCATGTATAGATATAATGGCCCCCGTCTCACATAAAGATATAATGGAACCAGTCTAACATAAAGATATACTGTGACCAGCCTCACGTATAGATATAATTGGACCAGTCTCATGTATAGATATTATGGGACCAGTCTCACGTATAGATTTAATGGGACCAGTCTCATGTATAGAGATAATGGGACCAGTCTCACATAAACATATAATGGGACCAGTCTCATGTTAAGATATAATTGGACCAGTCTCACGTATAGATATGATGGGACCAGTCTCATGTATAGATATAATGGGACCAGTCTCATGTTAAGATATAATTGGACCATTCTCACGTATATGTATAATGGGACCAGTCTCACATAAAGATATAATGGGACCAGTCTCACATATAGATATGATGGGACCAGTCTCATGTATAGATATAATGGGACCAGTCTCACATAAAGATATAATGGAACCAGTCTAACATAAAGATATACTGTGACCAGCCTCACGTATAGATATAATTGGACCAGTCTCACATATAGATATAATGGGACCACTCTCATGTATGGATATAACAGGACCAGTCTTACAAATAGGTATAATGGGACCAGTCTCATGTATAGAGATAATGGGACCAGTCTCACATATAGATATAATGGGACCAGTCTTGTGTATAGATATAATGGGACCAGTCTCACGTATAGATATAATGGGACCAGTCTCACATAAAGATATAATGGGACAAGTCTTGTGTATAGATATAATGGGGCCAATCTCACGTATAGATATAATTGGACCAGTCTCACATATAGATATAATGGGACAAGTCTCACATAAAGATATAATGGGACCAGTCTCATGTATAGATATAATGGGACCAGTCTCACGTATAGATATAATTGGACCAGTCTCACATAAAGATATAATGGGACCAGTCTCACATAAAGATATAATGGGACCAGTCACACATAAAGATATAATGGGACCAGTCTCACGTATAGGTATAATGGGACCAGTCTCACGTATAGATATAATGGGACCAGTCTCACGTATAGATATAATGGGACTAGTTCTACATTTCCAATCTTGCATTTCGCTCATACAATTAATCAAACAAAACATCTAGTTATAGAACACATGAAATAGAAATTAAAGTGAAATTAAAACTTAATTGGTTCTGTACCACTGCCAAAAAATAGAACTAGGAATGGGAATTTTTCACTGACATGGCTACTGCTTTAATAAATCATTTCTGAAAAACAATCCATAACCATGAAAATGAAACACAAGATTTAGAAGTTTCACTGAGTCCAACTTGAGAAGAAGTTGAAATACTAAATGACACATGGACGTACAAAAAATCACTTGAACCACACAATGATGTGATAAGAGGAAATTTTGACTGAAGTTTAAAGACTGTTTTATGTTTCTGGGGCCTGGTTCCGTAACCTTCCCTCTATGTTGACATTTCTGTCATTAGTCTCTGGGGATTACATCCAATAAATGTCAAGGCTAGTGTTGTAGATCTTGTGGTTGTTTCAAGGGGCATTTTTTTCATTCAACATTCTGAAAATATTATCTCAGAAATTCCTTGAATGTAACCAGATATGGCGAGAAATTAAATTTTGCGCTAACTTGATGCAATTACTCACTAAAACAGTTCTTGCCTATTGACATGTGTGTCTAGGACTTGCGTCTTCCATTTTATGCTGTATTCTGTGACACATGTCAACTATGTACATGTATCTATGACACGTATCAACTACATACATATTTTATATCATATGTCAACTTAATACTATGACAAATTTGTATCAACTGTATACATATTTGTGACAAGCATTATAGCTACACAACTTTTTATTGTTGTGCGTATTCTATGACAGGCATCAACTACAAAGATATTCTATGACATGTGTCAGCTATATACATATTCTATGACATGTGTCAACTACATATCTAGTGTATAGCATGTGTCAACTACATACATATTGTATGACATCTATCAGCTTCATAGATATTCTATGACATGTGTCAACTACTACATATTGTATGACTCATGTTAACTACATACATATTCCATGACATGTGTCAACTACATACATATGCCATGACATGTGTCAGATTCATACATATTCTATGACATGTGTCAGCTTTATATATTCTGTAACATATGTCAGCTAATACAAATTTTATGACATGTGTCACCTACATATATAATTACATATTCTATGAAGCGTTTCAGCTATACACACATCCTCTCAGACATGTAATCTACATAGTCCATTCTCTATGAAGTGTTTCAGCTATACACTCATCCTCTCAGACATGTACTCTACATAGTCCATTCTCTATGAAGTGTTTCAGCTATACACTCATCCTCTCAGACATGTAATCTACATAGTCCATTCTCTATGAAGTGTTTCAGCTATACACACATCCTCTCAGACATGCACTCTACATAGTCCATACTCTATGAAGTGTTTCAGCTTTACACACATCCTCTCAGACATGTACTCTACATAGTCCATTCTCTATGAAGTGTTTCAGCTATACACACATCCTCTCAGACATGTAATCTACATAGTCCATACTCTATGAACTGTTTCAGCTATAGATACATCCTCTCAGACATATAATCTACATAGTCCATACTCTATGAAGTGTTTCAGCTATACACACATCCTCTCAGACATGTAATCTACATAGTCCATACTCTATGAAGTGTTTCAGCTATACACACATCCTCTCAGACATGTACTCTACATAGTCCATACTCTATGAAGTGTTTCAGCTATACAAACATCCTCTCAGACATGTAATCTACATAGTCCATACTCTATGAAGTGTTTCAGCTATACACACATCCTCTCAGACATGCACTCTACATAGTCCATACTTTGAAACTTATGGATATAAGTGTTGTTTGTACACAGAGACTCGGGTAGACTAACTAAACATTGACCCCTGGTGTAAGGGTCATTCCACCTTCGAGGGTTTCATCATGGGTTGAACCATTTTGAGTTTGTAGGGGTCAACTGAGATGACTAGGCAATGGACCTGTTTAGGTAATGTAAATTGATATGCCCAGAGTAACTGGAGGAATAGAGGGATGACTGGTCATTCTCAGAGACTGTATCAGACTAGTCACGTGACTGGTCAGTCATCCAAATTAGGTAATGGTAATTTGATATGCCCAACGGAAGGAAGGGTTATTAGGTACATTGCTGGTCATTCTTAGGAACAGCAGCAGAGTGTTAAGACGTATAATATTTGATGAACCGCCGCCGTCCCCGCCACACTTCCTTCTCAGATGGTGCCTGGGTCTATCTCACGCTTTAGCGCCCTGTACTCAGGGCGATGTTCTGTCCCAACTTCAAAAATTGGCACTAGTCCAAGTGAGAAAACACTGCCAGTTGGTCAAGCATTGGAAATCATACCACCCCCTTCCACTGGGAGTTAGGGTTGGGTAGCTCGCTTCCAACATTCCTGGACTGAAATTCGGAACATGTTTGTATTCTTGTGCTAAGGCATCTACATGAGGTTTTTACTTCATTGTGATGCATATTTTACATAACATTATGTAATACCCCCAAGATATAAATATATAATATACTCCTTTCATACGTCATACATGCTCATACACTGTCCCACCAAGCTGTCACACAGCAAGGACGGCACCGTCCAACCAAGCTGTCACACAGCCAGGACAGCATGTTATGAAAGTGAGTTTTAGTCTTCCTCGTTACTTCCCTTCATACATGCTCATACGCTAAGGATCCGTCCCACCAAGCTGTGGAGCTAGCAGGACAGCATGTATGAAGGTGAATAAATTAGTCATATGAAGTAAACGTGTCACAAGCTATCTCGCGCGCAACGAGGCGTCATTGAGGACACGCGCCCCTCAAATGACTTGTAGGTGACACGTCGACTACATGACACAGCTGAGATAGCCCCTTAACCCAAATATAGGTAGGATAAATCATAGTATAATGAAAATAAATATCTAGAAACATATGCATTGCTTTGAGTCTTTTGTGTATAAACTATGAAGTGTTTCAGCTATATACACACACATCCTCTCAGACATGTAATCTACATAGTCCATACCCTATGAAGTGTTTCAGCTATAGACACACATCTTCTAAGACATGTAATCTACATAGTCCATATTCTATGAAGTGTTTTCGGTATACACACATCCTCTCAGACATGTAAACTACATAGTCCATACTCTATGAAGTGTTTCAGCTATACACACATCCTCTCAGACATGTAATCTACATAGTCCATATTCTATGAAGTGTTTTCGCTATACACACATCCTCTCAGACATGTAATCTACATAGTCCATACCCTATGAAGTGTTTCAGCTATAGACACACATCTTCTAAGACATGTAATCTACATAGTCCATACTCTATGAAGTTTTTCAGCTATACACACACATCCTCTCAGACATGTAATCTACATAGTCCATTCTCTATGAAGTGTTTCAGCTATACACACATCCTCTCATACATGTAATCTACATAGTCCATACTCTATGAAATGTTTCAGCTATACACACATCCTCTCAGACATGTAATCTACATAGTCCATACTCTATGAAGTGTTTCAGCTATACATACATCCTCTCAGACATGTAATATACATAGTCCATACTCTATGAAGTGTTTCAGCTATACAAACATCCTCCCAGACATGTCATCTTCATAGTAGTGTTTCAGCTATACAAACATATAATCTACATAGTCCATGCTCTATGAAGTGTTTCAGCTATAGACACACAGCTTCTAAGACATGTAATATACATAGTCCATCCTCTATGAAGTGTTTCAGCTATAGACACACATCTTCTAAGACATGTAATATACATAGTCCATCCTCTATGAAGTGTTTCAGCTATACAAACATCCTCTCATACATGTCATCTTCATAGTCCATACTCTATGAAGAGTTTCAGCTATACATACATCCTCTCAGACACGTAATATACATAGTCCATCCTCTATGAAGTGTTTCAGCTATACACATATCCTCTCAGACATGTATTATACATAGTCCATACTCTGTGAAGTGTTTCAGCTATAGACACACATCTTCTAAGACATCGATACTCTATGAAGTGTTTCAGCTATACACACACCCTCTCAGACATGTAATTTACATAGTCCATACACTATGAAGTGTTTCAGCTATAGACACACAGCTTCTAAGACATGTAATCTATGTAGTCCATACTCTATGAATGTACTCTACATAGTCCATACTCTATGAATGTACTCTACATAGTCCATACTGTATGGAGTGTTTCAGCTGTATCTTCATAGTCCATACTCTATGGAGTGTTTCAGCTGTATCTTCATAGTCCATACTCTATGGAGGGTTTCATTTATACACACATCCTCTCAGAAATGTAATCTACATAGTCGATACTCTATGAAGTGTTTTAGCTATACACACATCCTCTCAGGCATGTAATCTACATAGTCCATACTCTATGGAGTGTTTCAGCTATATCTTCATAGTCCATACTCTATGAAGTGTAGCAGCACTTCATTTGTAGGATTATGTTTGATAATCCAGCCGCCATTAACTTAGTTATCCCCCTGTCCAGTCAGTGTCCAGTCTGTGATTTGTTGGACAGATTGGTTCTCTCTACATAATTTTTGGAGTAATTGAGCCGTCTCACAATCAAGTCTGTTTTGCTGGGAAGGAAGATGGTTGAATTATTAAGACTACTGTTTCCTACCTCTCTTTGACTAAAATGTATCACTCAGGCTCGTTCTATTAAATATTTACATAAATAACTGCAAAACATTTTGCTGACCAATACTATAAACTTTTTATAAAAACAGCTCTTAATTTCTCAAGATTCAACATTATTAATAAAATGTACATAATTATTAGGTCACCTGAGCTTTAGCTCAAGTGACCTATTGCTATCCGTTTTCGTCCGTCGTCGTCCGTCGTCCGTCGTCCGTCGTCCGTCGTCCGTCGTCCGTTAACATTTTACATTTCAAACTTAAAGTCAAGTTCTGCTGGGCCGATTGAACTGAAAGTTGGTAGGAATGATCGCCTCATGGTCCTGACAAAGTGTTGTTATTTTTCGGGTCGATCAGAAATCCAATATGGCCGCCACGGCCGCCATTTTGAAAACCTATTTCAAACTTAAAGTCAAGTTCTGCTGGACCGATTGAACTGAAAGTTGGTAGGAATGATCGCCTCATGGTCCTGACAAAGTGTTGTTATTTTTCGGGTCGATCAGAAATCCAATATGGCCGCCACGGCCGCCATTTTGAAAACCTATTTCAAACTTAAAGTCAAGTTCTGCTGGACCGATTGAACTGAAAGTTGGTAGGAATGATCGCCTCATGGTCCTGACAAAGTGTTGTTATTTTTCGGGTCGATCAGAAATCCAATATGGCCGCCACGGCCGCCATTTTGAAAACCTATTTCAAACTTAAAGTCAAGTTCTGCTGGGCCGATTGAACTGAAAGTTTGTAGGAATGATCGACTCATGGTCCTGACAAAGTGTTGTTATTTTTCGGGTCGATCAGAAATCCAATATGGCCGCCACGGCCGCCATTTTGAAAAACTATTTCAAACTTAAAGTCAAGTTCTGCTAGGCCGATTGAACTGAAACTTTGTAGGAATGATTGACTCATGGTCCTGACAAAGTGTTGTTATTTTTCGGGTCGATCAGAAATCCAATATGGCCACCACGGCTGCCATTTTGGAAAACTATTTCAAACTTAAAGTAAAGATCTACTTGGCCGATTGAACTGAAACTTTGTAGGAATGATCGACTCATGGTCCTGACAAAGTGTTGTTATTTTTCGGGTCAATCAGAAATACAATTTGGCTGCCATGGCCGCTATTTTGCTACTAAATTCTAATAGGCCGATCTCACTTAAAATTGGTCTAGGAATGATCAGCTCATGGTCCTGACAAAGTTAAGTTAACATTATACTATTTTTTACTCAAATTGGTACATATTTCAACAAAAAAAAAAAAACCTGTAGACTCAGGTGACCGTTAAGGCCCATGGGCCTCTTGTTATATATCTTGTTCAAATACTTAATATCTGTATTGTAATCTTTATGAAATGTCATTGTGTGGCTGTGTCCTTTATATAGATAATTTTCTGAACAGGGGATCACACTTAAGTTGAATGACCAGGGGCGGTGTCTGGTGGCCCGGATAATGCATGGAGGGATGATCCATCGTCAGGGTAAGTGTCTTAATGTAATACAACATCAGAGTAATATATTATTAAGTGTCTTAATGTGATAAAATGTTAGGGTAAGTGTCTTGTTATAATACAATGTTAGGGTAAGTGTATTAATATAATACAATGCTAGGGTAAGTGTCTTGATATAATACAATATTAGGGTAAGTGTCTTAATATAATACAATGTTAGGGTAAGTGTCTTGTTATAATACAATGTTAGGGTAAGTGTATTAATATAATACAATGCTATGGTAAGTGTCTTGTTATAATACAATGTTAGGGTAAGTGTCTTGATATAATACAATGTTGGGGTAAGTGTCTTGATATAATACAATGTTAGGGTAAGTGTCTTAAAATAATACAATCCTAGGGTAAGTGTCTTAATATTGTACAATCCTAGGGTAAGTGTCTTAATATTGTACAATGTTAGGGTAAGTGTCTTAATATAATACAATGCTAGGGTAAGTGTCTCGATATAATACAATGTTATGGTGAGTGTCTTAAAATAATACAATCCTAGGGTAAGTGTCTTAATATTTTACAATGTTAGGGTAAGTGTCTTAATATAATACAATGTTAGGGTAAGTGTATTAATATAATACAATGCTAGGGTAAGTGTCTTGTTATAATACAATGTTGGGTAAGTGTATTAATATAATACAATGTTAGGGTAAGTGTCTTAATATAATACAATGCTAGGGTAAGTGTCTTGATATAATACAATGCTAGGGTAAGTGTCTTGTTATAATACAATGTTAGGGTAAGTGTCTTAATGTAATACAATGTTAGGGTAAGTGTCTTGATATAATATAATGTTAGGGTAAGTGTCTTAATGGCATACGATATCAGAGTAAGCGTCTTAATAAGATACATCATTAGCTTTGAAATAAGTGTTATGAGTGATCCAGTCAGGCAGAGAGTTGTGTCTGATCCACCGTCAGTGTGAGTGTTGTGTCTAAATCACTGTCAGTGTGAGTGTTGTGTCTGATCCACTGTCAGTGTGAGTGTTTTGTCTGATCCATGCTTAAACTGTGAGTTGTGCCTCGTCCATGAATAGGCTGTGCTTTGCATCTCTACCTCGGAGGGACATTATACAAATATACCAGTAACGTAATTGGTAATTAGACTCAGCCTATCTAGTTAGCCTTGACAAGCAAAAGATCTATTTGAAAAATTTATGAGTGTATTGTCATCTAAAAGTGTGAGTGTTGTGTCTAAATCCCTGTCAGTGTGAGTGTTGTGGCTGATTCACTGTCAGTGTGAGTGTTTTGTCTAAATCACTGTCAGTGTGAGAGTGTCTTAATATAATACAATGTTAGGGTAAGTGTCTTGTTATAATACAATGTTAGGGTAAGTGTATTAATATAATACAATGCTAGGGTAAGTGTCTTGTTATAATACAATGTTAGGGTAAGTGTCTTAATATAATACAATGCTAGGGTAAGTGTCTTGATATAATATAATGTTAGGGTAAGTGTCTTAATATTTTACAATGTTAGGGTAAGTGTCTTAATATTTTACAATGTTAGGGTAAGTGTATTAATATAATACAATGTTAGGGTAAGTGTCTTGATATAATACAATGTTGGGGTAAGTGTCTTGATATAATACAATGTTGGGGTAAGTGTCTTGATATAATACAATGTTATGGTGAGTGTCTTAATATAATACAATGCTAGGGTAAGTGTCTTGTTATAATACAATGTTAGGGTAAGTGTATTAATATAATACAATGTTAGGGTAAGTGTATTAATATAATACAATGTTAGGGTAAGTGTATTAATATAATACAATGTTAGGGTAAGTGTCTTAATGGCATACGATATCAGGGTAAGCGTCTTAATAAGATACATCATTAGCTTTGAAATAATTGTTATGAGTGATCCAGTCAGGCAGAGAGTTGTGACTGATCCACCGTCAGTGTGAGTGTTGTGTCTAAATCCCTGTCAGTGTGAGTGTTGTGGCTGATCCACCGTCAGTGTCAGTGTTGTGTCTGAATCACTGTCACTGTGAGTGTCGTGTCTGATCCACTGTCAGGGTCAGTGTTGTGTCTGATCCACTGCCAGGTTGGGTGTTGTGTCTGATCCACTGGCAGGGTGAGTGTTGGGTCTGATACACTGTCAGGGCGAGTGTTTTGTCTGATCCACTGTCACTGTGAGTGTTGTGTCTGAATCACTGTCAGTGTGAGTGTCGTGTCTGATCCACTGTCAGGTTGAGGGTTGTGTCTGATCCCCTGTCAGGGTGAGTGTTGTGTCTGATCCACTGTCAGGGTGAGTGTTTTGTCTGATCCATGTTTAAACTGTGAGTTGTGCCTCGTCCATCAATAGGCTGTGCTTTGCATCTCTACCTCGGAGGGACATTATACAAATATACCAGTAACGTAACTGGTAAGTAGACTCAGCCTATCTAGTTAGCCTTGACAAGCAAAAGATCTATTTGAAAAATTTATGAGTGTATTGTCATCTAAAAGTAATATAGCTGCGGAAATGTTACCAGAGAGAAAATCTGGAAGATAATTGGAAACTGGATGGGCTAGGCTGTAGATAGGCGTTAGGTAGGAGTGAGGTACAGAGGATGTGAGTAAACGCTAGAGTAGACGTAGAAGATGATATCGTGAGGTTACAGGGGACGGGAGTAGTGTAAATGTTAGTGTAGACGTAGAAGATGATATCGTGAGGCTACAGGGTGGCTGATGATTGATCCGGTGTTGGAAATGTCCCTGTGGGGGAAGCAGACCTGTGATTGTATCAGAGGGTATTGTGGTCTAGAGCATCCTGTAGCTACCTAACAGCGTTAGTCGAACCTTTGGGCATTCTTTTCTCTACTTATTGACTGCACAGCTAAACTAGTCACCAAAACTGAACTCAACCTGAACGATTTTTCAGCACCAAAACTTGACTCTCACACCTAAACCTCCTTAACAATGTAGTGTGAAAAAATGAACAGAAACAGAATAGTTTAAACTACAACATTAACCATAAGAAACTGTTTTGATGTACACTGTATAGTAAGTGACTTTTTCTATAAATAATTTACAGAAATGCATTGGCTCTTTTTATGGTCATAATGTACAGGATAGGATATTTTAATACAGACAAAGAACTATTTGGTTTAATAATGTACAGGATAGGATATTTTGATACAGACAAAGAACTATTTGGTTTCATAATGTACAGTAATTAAAACACCATTTCTATGACAATGTACAGTAAAAGACTATTTTGACTTATGGACTCCTGTGATTGTGTATATATATAATGTGCTATATGAACCTGAAAAAGTTATATTAATCAAGGCATCACAAAAGTCCATAGCCATTTTTTATGCTTCATAAATAAAAGTAAAAACAAACTCACAGTCCTTAATTGTCTCGATGCTAGGATTTCTGCCATATCTAAAATAAAGAAAATGTACACCTTGACTATATAAGCAGATCAGGCGTCATGCTGACCAGTACCATTGTTTTTGTCTACCTTTCATGGTCCATTGACTTTGTCAGCATCTCAATCAATATTTAGTTTTTGCGTTCACGTTAGTTTCTCTGAAACAGTAAGTGTTACACCAACCAAACTTGACATGTGCATTGATGGTTAAAGCCATCAAAGCCATCAACAGGTGAGACATCGGCTTGTAAAAAACATACAACCAGATATATAATAAATCTCCAAATCTTGTTTATCAAATACACTTTTTACTAGGCAGAGAAGCAGGGGACTCCCCTAAAGACTATACTGTATTTAGAAGTCTAGAAACTGTACAAATCGAAGGAGTGTTCCAAATTTGTAATACTGATCTGCTTAAGAAAGTTTGTAGTTTTTAGAAACAACTGTAAAACTTTTGAATATATTGTCAAATCATGCTGATAATTCCAAACAAAATAGGAGTATCATGATCATTGTATGAATTGGACACGTATAGGTATTTCATTGACTTAACTACTTAATACCAACACTAAGTATAGTACATATATGTTGGTATACCTGTACAAGTAACATGTTCAGACATTATCAAGGGCAAAATGTAATCTGCAATGATAATAAGTTGCATGTAATGTATAAGTGTGCATATAAATGTAAAATGTACAGCATCATTTTAACCATGAAGGTTTGTATACATGTATCATAAACATTGGACCTCTTGTTCCACACATAGTGTGGCTGAGTGTAAATAAAAATCTTGAAACACTTGAAACCCATATTTACTGTAAAAAAAACAGTCAACAGGAATTTTTGAGAACTGATTCAGCCAAATAAATTTGCAAGAAATGATGCACAAAACTGGACTGTTTTGACATACAATATACACCTGTCACTTTGACATACAATATACACCTGTGACTTGGACATACAATATACACCTGTGACTTTGACATACAATATACACCTGTGACTTTGACATACAATATACACCTGTCACTTTGACATACAATATACACCTNGTACAATATACACCTGTGACTTCCATTTTACTTTCCAGGTACATTACACGTGGGGGACGAGATCAGAGAGATCAATAATGTCAGTGTTGTCAACAAAACAGTGGAGGTGTTACAGAGAATGCTGGTAAGGCACTCCCTCTTTGTTCTGTTGGTCGGTTGGTTTGTTCACTTGTAGTAAATCTTATGGTACAGAATGTATCTATAACAAGAAATCCATCTTGTTCTAAAGTGACCCTTTCTAAATTATTTACCACTTCATCGTAACTGAAATTAATACAAAAAAATCTGTTTGGTATGAAAGTGTTAAAACAGGTGAACTTAATCTTGTTAAAAAAAATCAATTAATTGTTTACTAATAAGATGATGCTCTGACTGTTTTCTTTGTTGGTCATATCATCACATTGTGTTCGACAGTCAAACATTATATAGAGTAGTTTGTTCAACATGTTGACTTATAAGGTTAAATCATAACATTGTATCATCACATTAGGTTCAATGGTTGAAAATTCCATTTTGTTAAACCCTTTCAGCCCTATGTAACTTTAGTAACCTCTACCATGCATTGATCTAGATGAGTCCATTTTGGTCTACATTGATGAAAGGGTTAATGTTAAACCATCTAATTGTGTTCAATGCTAATGAACACTCCCATTGTGTCTAACGGTTTAACTTCACGTCTTCAATCATCACATTTTCACCATAATTGATAAAAAAACACTGTTTTCAATGGTTAAAAACATCACATTATGTTTAATGGTTGAACTAGCTGTCCCATTGTATTCATTGGTAAAACCATCTCATTGTGTACCGCGGTGAAATGAATCACAAAGTTCAATTCTTCAAACATCACATTGTGTTCAATGGTAAACATCACATTGTAGTCATTAGTAAAATGCCGTATTGTGTTCATTGTTAATATACCTCTGCCAAACAGTTCTGTTAAGTGGCTAATCACTGCCTGGTTTAAATACCCAGTGCAGTATGGAGGCTATTTTGAACAGGAATTAACATTCCAGAGACAAATTAAACATTGGGAGATGTGTGTTTGATGATTTATAAAGCCTCTTACTGACATTACCACATGCCTGTAATCAATTAGCATGCTTAAAGTAGGCAGCTCATGGTTGATAGATTTACTGGTAGAAGTTTTTATCAGAAATTAAGTCTGGAGATGTGAACTATATATGTATATAGGTGAGGTCTTTAAAACGCAATTTAATGCTTTACAAAAATTGGATATCAATACAAATTATATAATGCAATGTAAGGAAGGCAGCATGTGTCTGGTAGTTCCAGGAATTTAAGCAATTATTGAAAAATGTCTTTTAATGATAATCAATAAAAAATTATATATATAAAAGGTGTAAGTAGTGATAAGAAATTATATATATAAAAGGTGTAAGTACTGATAAGATAGTTGGAGTTTTATGCTAATTTGTTTATGGAGTTCATTATCATACTTTATGCCGATTACATGTCTGTGTTGCTTATTATAACCAACAGAGGGAGCTGAGTGGATCGGTGACCTTTAAGGTCATACCGCAACCGTTGCTAAGTATGTTTGGTGGCCATGGCGACAATAACAACCACAATGAGGTAGGGTATCACACCCCTGGTAGCCGTTCGTCATCGTCGTCATGTCAACACCACCACACTATTTATTTTTTTATATTTATTTATTGTTTTCACTTTCCTGCTCTCCATCCAGTTTTCCTTTCCTTTGTTTCTCATTCTCTGTTCAATCTTTCCTCCATGCACATTTTGTTTTTGCAGAAGGATGCTCGGGGGAGTGTGTCGCTGAAGATTGTCCCGAGCCATCGACACAATGCTGCACACTGTGAGGTTGGTTGGACGCTTGGACTAAACCATGTTCTGTAATTCAGACTTTTTTGTGAAGTGAAGTTTTCGCGATATTTATAAAAAATCATCTTCTCTAAATCGTTAAAGCAACAGCAGCTACAAAGCATGAAATTGCATCTTTTGACAAAAACAGAATAGAATTTTGTTCAGATTGGGTGTCTTTGGGGCCACTCAGCGGTATTTATTTGGGACCAAATTTAAGTTGAGTTACGTAGTCAATTAACATAAATAACTATATCTGCCCTAAATTTCGGTGGATTTCAAGTAAACTTGACAGGGATATGAAACTAAGGTGATTAGGTTCTGAAGCTGTTAAAATGGGGAGCCTGCTCTTTGAAGGGACTAGTGGCTGGATCAGAAGAGTATAATTTTGCACAATATTTTAATAAAAATCATCTTATCTGTGATAAATAAATCAATGCCAGTAAAAAAAACATTGCATATAAATGTATATAGCCACAAAAATGTCAAAGCTAGCTTTATTAAGTCCATTATTCCACCCGTTGGAGGGACCAGAGTTTAGTATTTTGTAAGGTTAATTAATGAGAATGATATAACAGTGACAGTTCTAACCAGGGCACCACAAATGGGAAATTTAAGGGAAAAATCCTGTAGGGACAAATTCCAAAAATGGAAAAATTACTAAATTTTTCCAGAAATCATCATCTCAAAACTTGATTAATTCCACAAGCAAGTTCTCTACAATGATGTAAAGGTCATTTTAAACACGAAATAATTTCCAGTGAAATTATTTTGAAAGTGAAAGAAATTGTGGTTCTGAAATTCAAGAACACCACCACAACTGCCATTTTGAAAACCCATCCAAAAGGATATTCAACCTATGGGCCTATTATAGATTTTTGAATACTGTCTATTTTATCTTAAACAAAATATCAAAATAAAAGCATGCAATAAAATTATTTTATTCATGGCAATTTCGACAGGTTTTTTTTTAGAATTCTTAAGGTACCGGTAAAAAGAAATCTGCTAGCTTCCTTAAAACAAGAAGCAAAATCTCCACAAAAAAAGCTGATATCCAGAACGATCTGTTTGTAGTGCACACCTTGTGCCTCACTGTCTTGTTGTTTGTGAAGCAGCACACCTTTAGACTACTGATCTTGTGTGTAATGTTTGTGAACACATACCACAGTAGCTGAGGAGGAATGACTGGATCTTGTAGTTCTGGTGACGTGTTCTTAAACTGTAAATGTGTCGTCGTAGTTGTAACTGGTGTACTTTGGTCATTGTCCTATTATGTAAGTAGATCATATATGTTTGTTTAAGCAATGGTGAAATTAGAATTTTTTGAAGGAAGAGTCACTTCAAAGGGACAGAACTCTTGAAAACACTTTGAAAGGAGAAGCCCTCCCAGATTTGACACTGATTGATACAACAAACCGAGTCTGTGATGTTGACTGATGATTGTGTTTTACAATGAACGTGAAGCATGTTTGTAAGCATGTTGTTTTCCATGTTAACCCTGCCCGCCTTTCTACCTAACCAGCCAGCACACCCTATTTTCACATTATGCGTTAAACGTTGAGATACTTACAACTAAATAATAGGAGCTAGATCAATCTAGAAGGTACATCTTTTTTCCATGGAAAAAATATCAATATTTGTACAAGATTTTTTGTCTCCTTTTTTAGGTGCTGTTTTCTTTTCATATTACGGGTAGTTAATTGCTTAAGATAAATACATGTACTACAAACTTCGATCCCTCTCGATACATTGAAATTTAAAAAAAAAAAATATGGGCAATTTTCACTGATTAGGAAAAAGGAACAATTATTACGGAATAAACCTGAATGACTTTGGCATTAGATAAAATAGGAAACAATGCTGATTACCTCCATAATTTACAAGTTACAAATGTTAGAAAGCAAAAATTAATTTGCTTAAAATTTTTTGTCAGGAAAAAAATTATGTTATTTTCCATTGTTAATAATGTTAATCCCAAAATTATCTGTCAAGTTTTGCATAATGAAATTAAAATAGTGTTGATACATTGTGAAGCTTTTTATGGTTGTCTCCACTACCAATGTGTGGAGAAACCCCATTTATCACATAATTGGCCTGTTATCCAGTGAATTCGCGCATGTAATATTTGTACATACCCTGGAGCATTTTTCAATGGCTGTGCCAGTCAGAAATTGATTGTGACGTCAAAATATGGACAATGATGTGACGTCATAAATTGTGAATGGCACAACAAAATGGCTCTGTTTGATTAAGCCCTCTACATTTTGGCTTTTAAACCTGTAAAATGTAAGTTTTTTGAGTTATGTGATAAACAGTATCTTAAATTTGTTTTCATTTCATATGAGCTTTCATAAAACTCTTCTCAAAGTTTTAATTTTTGCTTAAAAATAACTGACATCAATTTGATACAAGAGTACAGATGAAACAGTCTTCATATAATAACTGAGACAAGTCCAACAACATTTTCTGTGTACAACTCTGGTTAAGATCCCCATAAGACTGCCAGAAACTGTGACTATGCACTAACAAACAGTTTTGCCAGCTTGACTAGCTTTGATAAATCAGTTCTGAAAAGAAAAACATACCTTGTGGGACTTTCATGAAACATAATAGGGATGGGGAAAAACAGCAAACCTCAGGGGAAAAACAGCAAAACTCTGGGGGAAAACAGCAAAACTCTGGGGAAAAACAGCAAAACTCAGCGTTACAGAACAATGGCACTAGACCTGGATCTGAACCCTGGACTTTATTGAGGAAAGGTTACTGTTTAATATACAAAAAAAAAAACGCAGTGGGCACATAGAACACAGTAACAACTCCCAGAGGCTGCAGTATGTTTTAGCTTCCTGTTTGTCGGAGATGTTAACTACCAGAGGCTGCAGTATGTTTAACCTTCCCGTTTGTCAGAGATGTTAACTCCCAGAGGTTGCAGTATGTTTTAGCCTTCCTGTTTGTCAGAGATGTTAACTCCCAGAGGCTGCAGTATGTTTTAGCGTCCTGTTTGTGGGAGATGTTAACTCCCGGAGGCTGCAGTATGTTTTAGCTTGCTGTTTGTCGGAGATGGTAACTACCAGAGGTTGCAGTATGTTTTAGCTTCCTGTTTGGCAGAGATGTTAACTCCCAGAGGCTGCAGGATGTTTTAGCTTCCTGTTTGTCGGGGATGTTAACTCCCAGAGGCTGCAGTATGTTTTAGCTTCCTGTTTGTCGGAGATGTTAACTCCCGGAGGCTGCAGTATGTTTTAGCTTCTTGTTTGTCGGAGATGTTAACTCCCAGAGGCTGCAGTATGTTTTAGCCTCCTGTTTGTCGGAGATGTTAACTCCCAGAGGGTGCAGTATGTTTTAGCCTTCCTGTTTGTCAGAGATGTTATACTCCCAAAGGCTGCAGTATGTTTTAGCCTTCCTGTTTGTCAGAGATGTTTTACTCCCAAAGGCTGCAGTTTGTTTTAGCCTTCCTGTTTGTCGGAGATGTTAACGCCCAGAGGCTGCAGTATGTTTTAGCCTTCCTGTTTGTCAGAGATGTTATACTCCCAAAGGCTGCAGTATGTTTTAGCCTTCCTGTTTGTCGGAGATGTTAACTCCCAGAGGCTGCAGTAGGTTTTAGCTTCCTGTTTGTCGGAGGTGTTAACTCCCAGAGGCTGCAGTATGTTTTAGCTTCCTGTTTGTCAGAGATGTTAACTCCCAGAGGCTGCAGTATGTTTTAGCTTCCTGTTTGTCGGAGATGTTAACTACCTGAGGCTGCAGTATGTTTTAGCCTTCCTGTTTGTCGGAGATGTTAACTCCCAGAGGCTGCAGTATGTTTTAGCCTTCCTGTTTGTCAGAGATGTTATACTCCCAAAGGCTGCAGTATGTTTTAGCCTTCCTGTTTGTCGGAGATCTTAACTCCCAGAGGCTGCAGTATGTTTTAGCCTTCCTGTTTGTCAGAGATGTTAACTCCCAGAGGCTGCAGTATGTTTTAGCTTCCTGTTTGTCGGAGATGTTATAGACTTGTTAATATTCTTTTATGAATAATTTACACATCTGCTTGTTTTATGTTCTGCAAGACAATTTTAATCTTTTTTATTTCAATATTGAAATTTGAGCTATAGAAGCATGTCAATTTTTGCATGGATTTAATTGTATTTATATTCAATGAAACCATGACACTCTTTTTTCTATATGATCAGTTATTGACATAGATTCCTGAGTCTGGAATTATAAACTCAAGTCATTACAATTTCAGGCCATTAAAATTTTGACCTTGAGCCCTTCAAAACAAAATCTTCCAGTGTCTTTTTTTCCCTCCTCTTAATAACTTTGTGACCAATAATCTGAAAGTGCCTGTTCTACAGAGTGTTACTTCCAGCTGACTGACAATGTAATACAATAACAATATCCAGGGTTTTTTCCTACTCTTCTGTTTCCAGAATCAGAGGGAAAAAACACTGAATATTTCTCATGTTTAGCTCACCTGTGAGCTTACTTGTATACAGGGATCAATCTAGGTTTACGGGGAAACTTTTTCAGCTTTGGGGAGATTTAAAATTTGATACAAGGCTCTAGCGTCATGAAGGTAAAAGATAAATGTTTTGTCCGACATACATGTGTGCAGTATATTTCAATTTTTAAACAATTTTAGGCTTAAAATCCCAGAAGTTTTGTTTAAATTATGTCGAGAAAATGTATATATGCAATATTATGTATTTTAACTGTTGAACTTTAAAGAAAACATATATAGGGGAAATATTTTGAAGAATAACAGCTATTTTCTTGTTGAAATAGGGGAATTTTGAAGCACATAGGGGGAATTTCAAAGAACAGGGGAAATTTCTTCTGTAGGGGAAACTACCCATAAATAGTAGTGAATCAAGTCTAGATTGTTCCCTGGCATAGTGTGCCATCCAGATGGTGTCATCTTTTCTCATTAAACCACTTCTACAGAACATAATACCTAGGGACATGATACCTAGGGACATAATACCTAGGGACATGATACCTAGGGACATAATACCTAGGGTCATGATACCTAGGGACATGATACCTAGGGACATGATACCTAGGGTCATCATACCTAGGGACATGATACCTAGGGACATGATACCTAGGGACATAATACCTAGGGTCATCATACCTAGGGACATGATACCTAGGGACATAATACCTAGGGTCATCATACCTAGGGACATAATACCTAGGGACATGATACCTAGGGACATAATACCTAGGGTCATCATACCTAGGGACATAATACCTAGGGACATCATACCTAGGGACATAATACCTAGGGTCATCATATCTAGGGACATAATACCTAGGGTCATCATACCTAGGGACATGATACCTAGGGACATAATACCTAGGGTCATCATACCTAGGGACATGATACCTAGGGACATAATACCTAGGGTCATCATACCTAGGGACATAATACCTAGGGTCATCATACCTAGGGACATAATACCTAGGGTCATCATACCTAGGGACATGATACCTAGGGACATCATACCTAGGGACATGATACCTAGGGACATCATACCTAGGGACATGATACCTAGGGTCATCATACCTAGGGACATGATACCTAGGGACATGATACCTAGGGACATCATACTTAGGGACATAATACCTAGGGACATGATACCTAGGGTCATGATACCTAGGGACATGATACCTAGGGACATAATACCTAGGGTCATGATACCTAGGAACATGATACCTAGGGACATAATTCCTAGGGTCATCATACCTAGGGCCATGATACCTAGGGACATGATACTTAGGGTCATGATACCTAGGGACATCATACCTAGGGACATGATACCTAGGGACATGATACCTAGGGTCATGATACCTAGGGATATAATACCTAGGGACATGATACCTAGGGTCATGATATTTGGCTTTTAGCTTGTTGGTATAAATGCCTGTCAATTTTGTTCAAATAAATTAATTTAAATTTCATTCAAGGTCACCAGGGTCAAATGTATTAAAATCTTCAAATGACTTCAAATGAATCATGAGACCTTGGTATTTATATTTGATTTGTAACTTACTTAAAGGGTGAAGAGCTATCAGTTTTGTGCAAATAAACTACCTTGACCCACATTGAGGTTCGCAGTGGGGTTAAATGTTAAACCTTTAAATGACTCTATCTGTGATCACAGGGTCTTGAGTTATGCTTGCTGGGGTGAAATGCTGTCAAAATGTATCACTTGTACCAACCATCAAAGCTATATGGATCAAATGTATTGAAATCTTAAACTGAAACATTAAGCCAATGGTATTGACATTTGGGCTGTAGATTGCTAGGGTTAAGGTTATCAATCCTCTTCAAGGTCACAGGGTTACTGTGTTGAAAATTGATACAATAATTCCTATCTTTGCCCCGACAAAATGTAATTTTACATAGATGTAAATGTTTGGTATGTAAAACATCATCATAATCTTACAATCTGTATTGATTCACAGAAATGATTAAAGGGTTTCTGGAACCTAACTTTATCTTTTACTGATTCACAGTCTCAAAGTGTTGGACAGTCTGATCTCAATCTTTATAGAAATGTAATACAGATTCAAGAGTTTGTGGCACCTTGATCTTTACAGATTTACGTGCGGGCTTTATTTGATTATTGTCCAGAAGACGATGACATCATTCCTTGTCGACAGGCGGGTGTGCCTTTCAAGTGTGGAGACATCCTTCAGGTATAATGACTGATTACTAGTTTAGGAATGCATGGCTAAGTAAGATAGATATGAGAGCTTGCCTCCTTTTACTGACCTGTATTCCTAGTGACCTGAATTTCACAACATATTACATTGATCATGATTGAAAAGGCTTTGGTATATATTTACTTTACTAAGATATATTTTTTAATCTCTACTCAAAATCAGTGTCAAACTGGAAAATGTTTTGTGCTGTCATTGTGACATTCAGTTATAACATGATGATATATGTATGTGTATGAAATAAATGTAAATTTAAACATTCAGTTGACATAATTTGCATTTGAAATATGGCAGTATTATGTCTTACTTAATATTATGTAGGATAAATTTGCAAAAATCGTAATTGGCATTTCTGAGATAAGTAATGAGAGAGTGTAACAATGGGATGGGTCGCCCCATTCCTACAGTTGATTGCTCATTGTTTACAGTTTTAGCAAGTATTTGATGTGAGCTTTTGACTTATTTGAACTTTGACCTACAGGTGATAAATAAGGATGACTCCAATTGGTGGCAGGCACGACGAGTGGGGCTCCCGACAACAGAACCAGCGGGACTTATTCCATCTCCCGAACTCCAGGAGTGGCGGACAACGTGTTCCGCACGGGAGAAACGTCAGGACCATGCAGGTACAAAATTGCGTTTAAAAGGTGAAAGGTTGAGGACACTTGTTAGGGCAACTTTTATTTCATAATTTAAAAACTCAAGACTGATACAAGTTTGTGAATAATTAAAGAATTATAAGATAATAAAGACATTTGTTCAAGTTATCTGTATTCAAATCAATTGCCATGTTAATGAAGCAATATTTCTAATAATGTGCGTTTATTTCCCATTACAGTTCATTGTTCCTGGTTTGGTCGAAAGAAAAAAGATAAATATCTTGCTAAACACAACGCCATTTTTGACCAGCTAGACTTAGTTACGTATGAAGAGGTTGTTCAACTACCAGCATTCCTCAGGAAAACTTTGGTGCTCCTAGGTACTTACATCACGCGAAGGAACTTTTTATATTCATGAAAATCCTCGAATTCTGTTTTACATCATTATGTGGTCTTAATCTATAAAATTATATGAAGAACTGTAATGTATTTCCATCTGTCCATATGTTTGTCAAGTTATTGGTAAATTGTTTGATCCTTAAACAGTAAACTCCTGAACTTTCATGGACTTCTGTACCAACACAAGACAACGGAGATTGTGCATCATCACCAGAAAATGTGTTCCATACTACTCTATAGGGTTGTAAATCTAAGGTCAAGGTCATTTATTGATTCCTGCATCTAAAATATGATCCTTCATCTAAGGTCAAGGTCTTTTATGCGACACTGCATCTAAGGTCAAGGTCTTTTATACGATCCTTCATCTGAGGTCAATGTCTTTTATACGATCCTTCATCTGAGGTCAATGTCTTTTATACGACCCTGCATCTAAGGTCAAGGTCTTTTATAATAGAATACTACATCTAAGGTCAAGGTCTTTTATAGAATCCTACATCTAAGGTCAAGGTCTTTTATAGAATCCTACATCTGATGTCAAGGTCTTTTATAGAATCCTACATCTCAGGTCGAGGTCTTTTATAGAATCCTACATCTAAGGTCAATGTCTTTTAAAGAATCCTACATCTAAGGTCAAGGTCTTTTATAGAATCCTACATCTAAGGTCAAGGTCTTCTATATAATCCTACATCTAAGGTCAATGTCTTTTATAGAATCCTACATCTGATGTCAAGGTCTTTTATAGAATCCTACATCTAAGGTCGAGGTCTTTTATAGAATCCTACATCTAAGGTCAAGGTCTTCTATATAATCCTACATCTGATGTCAAGGTCTTTTATAGAATCCTACATCTAAGGTCGAGGTCTTTTATAGAATCCTACATCTAAGGTCAAGGTCTTCTATATAATCCTACATCTGATGTCAAGGTCTTTTATAGAATCCTACATCTAAGGTCGAGGTTTTTATAGAATCCTACATCTAAGGTCAAGGTCTTTTATAGAATCCTACATCTGAGGTCAAGGTCTTTTATAGAATCCTACATCTAAGGTCAAGGTCTTTTATAGAATCCTACATCTAAGGTTAAGGTCTTTTATAGGAACCTGCATCTGAGGTATGGGTAACTAATTATGATCATTGTCAGATATGCTGTTTTTCTTATCCAGACAATGATTTATCAAAGGCTTTTTGCTGAGAATAAATTGCTCTATTCCAATAGATTTCTCTTTCCCTTGTAACACCTGATATCCCTGTTTTGATAAGAAATTATGAGTTTACAATATTTTATGGAAACTTTATCATTTCAAAGGTTTAAGAAAAATGAGGAGGAATTAAAATAAACTTTTTCAAAATTTGTATTCAAATATACAGAGCATTTGCATGAAGTTTTCATTAGGGTCAGTGATCAACATTAACAAAATGGATACATAGTTTTGATAAGCCTCTTTCCTCCTATATTCAATTTCCATAATTCATGCTTAGCATGACTTTACAAACTGTGCCCATTTGATGAGACTGTTTGTTGCTGTTTGTTACAGGTGCCCATGGAGTAGGACGGAGACACATCAAAAACACACTTATTACAAGCCACCCGGAGCGGTTCGCCTACCCCATTCCTCGTACGTAGCCACACTTATACCACAACAAATATTTGCTTTTTATTGACATAATACTAGACAGTATATATCAGTGATGTTAGCCGCCTCATACGGATGAATATAGTAGCATTGTCTCAGGTATTGTTGACTCTAAAGAGTTAGGCTTTCGTGACCAAGTTACCCTTAGAGCTGGAGCTTAACAAAACGAGTGACTAAGAGTATATGGTAGAACACAAAGCATGCTGATACTTGTACCCATGTGTTTTAAATCATTGATGCTGTACTAAATTGTTATAACCAATCAGTGATGCTGTTCTAAATTGTTATAACCAATCAGTGATGCTGTTCTAAATTGTTATAACCAATCAGTGATGCTGTACTAAATTGTTATAACCAATCGATGACATTGTACTGAACTGTTGTGACCAATTAGTGATGTCTTACTTCACTGTTTGTCAGATACGACGCGGCCGCCAAGAGAGACGGAGACCAATGGTAAAAACTATTACTTTGTGACTCATGAGAAAATGATGCAGGACATTGCAGCCAACCAATACCTGGAGTATGGAACACATGAGGAATCCATGTACGGCACCAAACTCGACACAATTCGTAGTATTCATGATAAGGGCCTCATGGGAATTCTGGACGTAGAACCACAGGTATGATCCCAGCTATCTTTTTGTTTTGCAATCTACATAACTAAACTTAAATGTATTGGCCCTACTGTATCCTTAAAACCATTTTCATGCTTTAGCGTAAACTCTGTGCTAAAATCAACTTTCTTGTAATTAAGTTGCTGAAATCTTGTGATGCAGTCAAAATTTAAGTCCAGACATAGAAGATGGTATTAGGTTTCTCTCCAAAGTTCCCCCAAGTCATTTAAAAATGAGAGAGTTGGAAACAAAGTGGATATATATCAATGGCAATGGTAGTGTTAAGAGGCCTTTTGATATGTAAGGTCAGGAAAGTCTAGAGCTATTTGGATCTCAAAGGTCACAGCCAGAAGTGATCTCAATATAAATGTCAAGGTCATGGGAATTATTAGGATGTCAGATTCCTTTCTCTAAAGGTCTTTTAATGTCAAAGGTCATGGTCAGAAGATCTTTTTATGTCAAATCACACTGAAAAAAGAAATATATATATATTTCAAAATATATGTATTATAGACTCAGAGACTGACACTATTTTCATTAAAGATAAACTTTATTTATTTTACAACAATTATGAAACAAGTTATTTCAACTTGTATTAATCACTCTTGTTTGCCGGATGTTAGCGCGCTGGAAGTCTTATTGTGGGAGGAAACCTGAATACCAGGAAAAATCCCAAGTGGTCGGGCAGGTGACCCAATACCTTTTTAAGTTCGATCGGGGAATTCGACCATGGCCGCCTTGGTGAAAGGCAAGTGCGCTATCAAGTGCACCACCCAACCACCCAATTTATTTTTATTACATTTTCGTACTAAGTTTAGAAATCATGCTGATTCATGGTGCTCCATGACTGACCAAATTTGCTGAACTGAATTCAGGATTTGCTTGCCCAGTTCCTATGATGCATATTATTTCTCTGACAACATTGTGAATTTAGATAATTAGATGACCTGGAACAATTAAGATTACAGATGTATTTGGCCATATTTGGGCATGTAAACAAATTTATCTTTGAGTTTTTACATTGTACACATTGCAGGTATCTTTTATCTTGTGAATATGTATTCCTGTTCTTATTTTGCTATTTCCCAGTACAAATAATCTATTTTTTATGTGAACAATGACCCAGTAAAATGGAATGTGGTACAATGTTTATAGCCATATTCTGTTTGTACCCACTAATCTTGTAAGGAACATTTTGGCTTTCACTGAAAACATAAATGTGTAACGGTAAATATACATAATACAATGTGTGTGTTAACAGTTTGTTCACAGCGTGTAAACACATATTTCAGGACATATGTGAGCCGACTTCATCGATGTAAAACAAATGAACAATTTTCAAAACACAACATTTCACTTAGGCCAAATAAAAAGGTGTCTGTTTCCTATATTTCTATTTTTTGCTGACAAAAACTTATTCATTACATTTTAAAAAGCAATAAATGTACATGCTTTTATGACAAACAGAAGTGAAAATCAAACTCTCCTCTTAAGTCTATCATCAGATCAAATCACCTGTGTACAGGGTCTATCTGTCTTTAAACAATTCCAGTCATTTCTATTTCACAAAAATAACTGTTATATTATTTATGGAGATTCCCCTTGGTACATAGTTGTGTATAAAAATCTTATGGTGGTGGGCACCAAGATCCCTCTCGGATCTCTTATCTTAAGAGTTGTAAAAAGAATGTTCACATGATATACATTATGTGGATTTATAATGCTATGATAAACAGATATATTTCTATTTGGCCTTAAAAAGATTTTCTAGAACTAGAGCCAGCTTGGTGGAATAAACAGTAGACAATTTAGTGCCGATGTAGTGTCTCCCATGTTACTATGGTTACAGGCTATACGAGTACTACGGACGGGAGATTTCGCTCCCTTTATTGTGTTCGTGGCAGCTCCTACAATCGCTGCTATACATGAGGTAACCTGCTGGCATGCCTCTCCCTCCCTCCCTCATTAAATGGTCGCCATGGTAACTACTGAAAGTCGAATGGTGTTCATTTCCTGTACTTGAATGGCTAAAGATTTTTTTACTGGTATATTTTCATGTAATAAAAAGTCAATTTGATTGGTGATAATTCTTTGCATCTTTACAAGTGTCAAAAGTTTGTTCCACAATATGCTAAATACTCAATTCTAAGATGTAAGATTAATTTGTTATAATGACGAGTTCCTGGAGTAAATACATATTATCTTGGTATTGATCAGGACTTGTCTGTTGGTATCATGGCGGCCATTGGTGCACTTGGACATGCCACTATTATGACTGTCATGCTTATTGTGTTACGTCACTGCCATTGGTGTCAGTTGGTACAGAGACATGGAACAAACAACATCAAACATTACATGATGTATAGACCTGCTCAGGTCAAATAACCTTTACTCAAGTATAATTTTAAGACAAAATTTGAAATCAGTGTTTGAAATAATTCCCCTTAAAGTTTTTGACAAAATAATGAATCCCCCATTTCAAATAGATAATTTGTTGGAAATTTGTGTCCAAGATGTGTTTCTTTTCGTAACAATTACAACTGCTGTCATAAGAATTGGTGTAATATTGTGGCCAAGTTAATCAGAATCTCTAGTTAGCCCATTTAGAATAAAAGATTCAAAAACTTTTGGAGAACAAATAAAATCCAACAAGAAACATCTGAAGAAAAGAAGCGTTTAGAAATTCTGTTTTTTTTTGTTATCTAAAAAGATAATGCTGAATCATTTTGGAAGCCAAGAGTAAAAATCCTTGAACATTTGAGTTGCACGACTAAAATCAGTTCATTTTAAAAAATAGAGGTAAAAGTCTAAAAGATCATTTTGAAAGTATAAGTAAACATATGAAAAAAATATCTTTAGAAATTATGAATAATTATAATAAAATAATTGTTTGAATATTTGAATAAGTAAAATTATTCCCTTGTTAATAATGACTATCTAGATTGATGTTTTGAGTCTAGATCATGTAGATGTTAAAGTCTAGATCATGTACATGTTAAAGTCTAGATCATCTAGATGTTAAAGTCTAGATCATCTAGATGTTAAAGTCCAGATCATGTAGATGTTAAAGTCCAGATCATGTAGATGTTGAGAGTCTAGATCATGTAGATGTTAAAGTCCAGATCATGTAGATGTTAAAGTCTAGATCATGTAGATGCAACTGGATTAATGTTTGAGTCCATGGATTGACCAACAGATGCCAGGGTAGTACCCTCCATGCATGCATCATGAACAGTCTAATAACATGTTTCTCACAGAGGTTTGTATACGCAGTCCTATGTGTATAATTCCCCGACACACCCCTCTATACACATTTATTTCATACTATATACTGTTTTTGTTTCTTCTTGGTTATTTTCAGTAACAGCATGATTTTTTGTTTGTTTTCAAATTGAATTTTCAGGCATTGAAAATATTACGAACTGCCGAGTATGCCCCATATGTCGTATTTATAGCTGCCCCTCGAGCATGTGACCTTCTGCCCGCGAAACCCAAAGACATCAACGTAAGTTTGTAGGTCGTAGACAGTTGTTACTAGTCAGTAGATCTATAGGATCCTCCTGTTGTAAGTCCTAGACCAAAACACTGCCCTGACGGTTATCAAAGTATGTCTTTCAGTATTTCCTGATGGTGGGGATCACTCAGTACCCCTGTTGGTGGTCATCATTCAGTACCCCTGTTGGTGGTCATCACTCAGAAACTCCCTGATGGTGGTCATAACTCAGTATTCCCCTGATGGTGGTCATCACTCAGTATCCCCCTGATGGTGGTCATCACTCAGTATATCCCTGATGGTAGTCATCACTCAGTAACTCCCTGATGGTGGTCATCATTCAGTATCCCCCTGATGGTGGTCATCACTCAGTACCCCCCTGATGGTGGTCATCATTCAGTATCCCTGATGGTGGTCATCACTCAGTATCCCCCTGATGGTGGTCATCACTCAGTACCCCTGATGATAGTCATCACTCAGTATCCCCTGATGGTGGTCATCACTCCATACCCCTGATGGTGGTCATCACTCAGTATATCCCTGATGGTGGTCATCACTCAGTATCCCCCTGATGGTGGTCATCACTCAGTCCCCCTGATGGTGGTCATCACTCAGTATCCCCCTGATGGTGGTCATCACTCAGTATCCCCCTGATGGTGGTCATCACTCAGTATCCCCCTGATGGTGGTCATCACTCAGTATCCCCCTGATGGTGGTCATCACTCAGTATCCCCCTGATGGTGGTCATCACTCAGTATCCCCCTGATGGTGGTCATCACTCAGTATCCCCCTGATGGTGGTCATCACTCAGTATCCCCCTGATGGTGGTCATCACTCAGTATCCCCCTGATGGTGGTCATCACTCAGTATCCCCCTGATGGTGGTCATCACTCAGTATCCCCCTGATGGTGGTCATCACTCAGTATCCCCCTGATGGTGGTCATCACTCAGTATCCCCCTGATGGTGGTCATCACTCAGTATCCCCCTGATGGTGGTCATCACTCAGTATCCCCCTGATGGTGGTCATCACTCAGTATCCCCCTGATGGTGGTCATCACTCAGTATCCCCCTGATGGTGGTCATCACTCAGTATCCCCCTGATGGTGGTCATCACTCAGTATCCCCCTGATGGTGGTCATCACTCAGTATCCCCCTGATGGTGGTCATCACTCAGTATCCCCCTGATGGTGGTCATCACTCAGTATCCCCCTGATGGTGGTCATCACTCAGTATCCCCCTGATGGTGGTCATCACTCAGTATCCCCCTGATGGTGGTCATCACTCAGTATCCCCCTGATGGTGGTCATCACTCAGTATCCCCCTGATGGTGGTCATCACTCAGTATCCCCCTGATGGTGGTCATCACTCAGTATCCCCCTGATGGTGGTCATCACTCAGTATCCCCCTGATGGTGGTCATCACTCAGTATCCCCCTGATGGTGGTCATCACTCAGTATCCCCCTGATGGTGGTCATCACTCAGTATCCCCCTGATGGTGGTCATCACTCAGTATCCCCCTGATGGTAGTCATCACTCAGTATCCCCCTGATGGTGGTCATCACTCAGTATCCCCCTGATGGTGGTCATCACTCAGTATCCCCCTGATGGTGGTCATCACTCAGTATCCCCCTGATGGTGGTCATCACTCAGTATCCCCCTGATGGTAGTCATCACTCAGTATCCCCCTGATGGTAGTCATCACTCAGTACCCCCTGATGGTGGTCATCACTCAGTATCCCCCTGATGGTGGTCATCACTCAGTATCCCCCTGATGGTAGTCATCACTCAGTATCCCCCTGATGGTAGTCATCACTCAGTACCCCCTGATGGTGGTCATCACTCAGTATCCCCCTGATGGTGGTCATCACTCAGTATCCCCCTGATGGTAGTCATCACTCAGTACCCCCTGATGGTGGTCATCACTCAGTATCCCCTGATGGTGGTCATCACTCAGTATCCCCTGATGGTGGTCATCACTCCATACCCCTGATGGTGATCATCACTCAGTATCCCCCTGTTGGTAGTCATCACTCAGTATCCCCCTGATGGTAGTCATCACTCAGGATCCCCCTGATGGTAGTCATCACTCAGTTCCCCCTGATGGTGGTCATCACTCAGTATCCCCTGATGGGGGTCATCACTCAGTATCCCCCTGATGGTAGTCATCACTCAGTATCCCCTGATGGTAGTCATCACTAGGTATCCCCCTGATGGTGGTCATCACTCCATACCCCTGATGGTTGTCATCACTCAGTATCCCCTGATGGTGGTCATCACTCAGTATCCCCGTGATGGTGGTCATCACTCAGTATCCCCCTGATGGTAGTCATCACTCAGTATCCCCCTGATGGTAGTCATCACTCAGTATCCCGCTGATGGTAGTCATCACTCAGTATCTCCCTGATGTGGTCATCACTCAGTATCCCCCTGATGTTGGTCATCACTCAGTATCCCCCTGATGGTGGTCATCACTCATTACCCCCTGATGGTAGTCATCACTCAGTATCTCCCTGATGTGGTCATCACTCAGTATCCCCCTGATGGTAGTCATCACTCAGTATCCCCCTGATGGTAGTCATCCCTCAGTATCCCCCTGGTGGTGGTCATCACTCAGTACCCCTGATGGTAGTCCTCACTCAGTATCCCGCTGATGGTGGTCATCCCTCATTCCCCCCTGATGGTAGTTATCACTCAGTATCCCACTGATGGTGGTCATCCCTCATTACCCCCTGATGGTAGCCATCACTCAGGATCCCCCTGATGGTGACCATCCCTCAGTATCCCGCTGATTGTAGTCATCACTCAGAATCCCGCTGATGGTAGTCATCCCTCAGTATCTCCCTGATGGTGGTCATCACTCAGTATCCCCCTGATGTTGGTCATCACTCAGTATCCCCCTGATGGTGATCATCACTCAGTATCCCGCTGATGGTAGTCATCACTCAGTATCCCCCTGATGGCAGTCATCACTCAGTATCCCGCTGATGGTAGTCATCACTCAGTACCCCTGATGGTAGTCATCACCCAGTACCCCCATGATGGTAGTCATCACTCAGTATCCCGCTGATGGTAGTCATCACTCAGTACCCCTGATGGTAGTCATCACCCAGTACCCCCATGATGGTAGTCATCACTCAGTATCCCGCTGATGGTAGTCATCACTCAGTAATCCATTGATGGTGATCATCACTCCGTAGCACCCTGATTGTGAGCAATGCATTGCGAAAGAGTTTTCTGATTCCTGTTTCCTTGCTACAGTAAACCTTGTAATACTGCCTTCAATATTATGCCATCACCAATGTGTCAATTTATATGGAATGCTTAGCAAAAAGGAGAGCTGAAAAACTGATTGCACAAGGCGAGATGAAAAATGAAACATGTCCAATATTGTACTGATACAGCAAATACTGTGAAATGTGAAGGGTTTATGGTAAGGAACGGTGCTGAAATCTGATAGTTAGGATATTTCTGTAATATAATGCATGAGTTGTGATGTAATGATTAATTTTACAAAAGTAAAAAAAAAATACTTATCAAATCATAACCTTATATGGTCCCTCTATATTAATATGAATGCTGTTTCCATGGAAACCATGTTGTTCAAATATTGTGTAACTAACAAAGAAGCATGCCTACAGCATGTTGACATGTACCAGCCTTACAAGGTCTACACAATATCCGTTCTTGTTACAACTATTTGGGAAGGAAGAGTTCTATGGTAATCTTTCTTTTTTAAATTCTGCACATCCCTACCTTGTATTTTTGTTATCCGATAAAAGTGTGCTATGTTTTTAACTGTTTACAGTTTACAAAAGGTGTATTACAAACGTCTTACAAACTGAATTGAATCACCCATTTCATCTGCTTAGTAATAATTATATTATTTTTAAGGTTGTTGTGGTCGCAGTATTTTCATTAATAATTTGAATGTATGTGATCGTACTCTAAAGATATTTAAATAACCAAACTATAGGAAGCATCCAGAAATATGTTTAGTTCAGAATTGTAAAATTAGTATTTGTTATCAATGTGTAATGTCATTCAAAATAGGATTTATTACAAGAAATATTATATTGTTAAAGATTGATATGAATTGTGTTAAGAGGGCTTTCATAGACTTTTTCTGTTGCCCGATTCTTGTCACGTATAAGATCTACGGTAAATTATTCGGACATGAAAATATTGAGCCTATCACTGTAGTGTGTTTTTCACTGTTGTAGGACGCCAGTCTAGAAAAGCTAGCCACTGAGAGTGAACTACTTGAGAAAGCATATGGACATTATTTTGATTTGAAAATTGTGAACAATGACATCGAAGAAACTATACGAACTTTAGAACAAGCCATAGATGAGGTGTCTTCAACTCCACAATGGGTACCAGTCAGCTGGGTATACTAATGGTTGGAGACAGCACTGTGGAGCTACATTATGGAGTAGCTTTATGGACTAGAGCATGGACATACCAGGTCAAAATTAATATAATGGCCTATAACATTCTGTGATTTGTTCGTTAAATAACACAATGAATCAACATATTAATATGAAACAGATGGCGGTGCTCTTTTGAAATTGAAATTCCGTTTCCATGGCAATTCAGGGTTATGTATAGCTGTCTACGGGATGAGAATTTCCAAGTGAAGATCGTGATAAATTCTTGTGGAATTGCAAATACAGATTCAGCCTCAGGGTTGCCCTGAAAATAAAACAGATTTGATATATTGATGGAGACAAAAGGAATGTACTCTTACGAAATTAAGACAGATGTACTATGAAGTACCTGTTTGGCTGAGGATACATGTACATCAATGAACACTCAGTCACAGAAATTATAACCTTAGGGTCATAAATTGTCAGATAAAATGTTTTCAAAATAAAAAAGGCAAAAGAGTCTGAAAAGGTGATCAGATTTAATAACAATGCTGTCTGTATATTAACCATCCTTTTATTTTGTAAGCCATAATATGGATTAAGGCTTTTTTTTTTTTTTTTAATGTGCATAATTAAGTATTTACGCTTTAAATAACATTAATTTAAAAGCAAAAGTACATTATTAGATTCGAAAGCCAGTTAAATGGAATTTTCTCTCAAGGAAAATTGTCTTTTTACCGACGTTTGAAGAACATAAATCTGATCACTTTGATTCTTTTATGTCATTAGAAAATATTTTCTTTGACAATTTGTGTGTAGATGTTTAGCTGTGAGAGGTTGTGTAGTTAGTGTAAGCGGCAGGCATTGAAGGTGAGACGACAACCAAAAAGCATGCATTTTTTAAAATTCTGATACGAGATTTGTATTACTTTATCAAGAAAACAGTTGTTGATGTTATGTAGCTGTACTTATCACCTTATCACTGTATTTAAACGTGTAGCGCGATGTATACACATACCATACTTACCATTACAATGTGTAATTACTGTATAGCACTTTTATTTCATGGTTACAATTTTCACGGTTTTGGTCTCAGATCCCCTGAATCTAAATTGTGTGCAACCTTATCAATAAGTATTACTCACCTAGCTTACTCTATCAGAAGGAATACAAGATTGTGGGGTTATATTTTGCCAATTGTTTTCAAGCATCAAATATAGCAAAAATGAAATACTCTAAGCATACATTACATAGATAATTGAGCAGATATATTTGTGTCTTAAATATTCCTCTAAAACTTCTGATAGATTAATACTAAGCCAATTCTATATAATTATATTAACTTATACTTGTATATATATATATATATATATATATGTATACATACATTTATTTGTCTGCATTAAGTAATCAAGATGAACTACATACACTAATTAATATACCCAAGTTGTATTTAAGGCTGTAAGTAAATACCTATAATGCCAACTTCAGCAGAAGTGTTTTTTTCACAGAGTTAAATTCAGTAAGAGCTGTTAATGTATTGGTACAGTATTATGCAGATATTACAAATATTATTACATTTACATAGACTTATGAAAATAATCATAAAAATTATTCCAGTTGGTTGGAAGTCTACAATTGAATTCAAGGCCCATTTGTGGATAACTAACATATTTGCCAACTTTTTGAAATTTCCATGGGGGAGACTATGCATTAAACATTAAAACAAACAAAATGTGTGTATGTACCTTAGCTGACAATGCAAATTTAAGGGTCCAGAATCGGGAAGTAGGGAGAGTTGGCAAGTATGACCTAGGATGTTTTAGCTGTGTATTTAATAGCATACAATGGTGGTAAACCTGTAGTGGTCAGGTACAGAGTTAGGATTAGGGCCATGTAGCTCCATTCTCCTTTAACACGTTCATACATTTCATAAAAAGTCATCACCAAGAAACATAGCAGTGTTATTTCAATTGTACATGTATTGCAATAATATTTTTCAAAGCGATATGGAGTGAATTTTTGAATTTCTGCACATGATTTGTCCTCAAGAGTCAGTTTACCAGAATGTTAAGCTGCCAGATTAGTGATATGGTTCCGATTACATGTTTTGTAGTTGTACCGAGCTTCTACTATCATTTTTGTCACTCTTTAAATTCACACACTTTTTGATACTTTAGATGATTATTTCTTTGATATTTATTTCAGCAGGATTGTGATTGTAGCATTTCTTGCAGAAACTGTTCTGCAAATGTAGTATAAGCGAGATAAAAGTCTGTACAGCTAAACATATCAATACTGGTACAATTTATTCTGCGTGAAGTCACAAATTTGTTCTATTTTAGACGTCTTCCAATGAAAATAAAGCTTTAATTGGAATTTAATAAGTAAAATCAAAATCAAAATTGATATTGTGTGGTATATTTTAAAGTTTATCCATTTTTTGTAAAATATTGAAAAGAAGAAGAAACTCAAAAGCCATTGTGGAAAACATCTTTAAATGAAGTTACCACTTTTGCTGAGAGTTATCTACCTTGTCACAAAATGTCACTATATCCTGTGGTAGAGTATTTTCAGGTAAAGTGTTGTCACCGCTGGTTAACAGAAATGTATGTATGTATATATCTATTGATCTAAACAGATATTTAAATGGAAAATATAAAAATGACAATTAAACTGCTGATAAAACTATTACTTCATGTGTTTCTTGTAATGGGAAAGGGACATACTCACACACCACACATCTCCTGTGTTCCGATGATAGAATGCAGGCCCAAGGAACAAGAATTTGATTTACAGACTGAAGCTGTGCTGCAGTTAAAACATACATGTCGATAATGAGACTCTGCTCTGGTTAAGAATTGTTTATGTTGAGAATGAGGCTCTGCTGTGGTTAAGAATTTCAGGTCCAGAACGAGGCTCTGCTCTGGTTAAGAATTTCATTTTGAGAATGAGGCTCTGCTGTGGTTAAGAATTTCATGTCCAGAATGAGGCTCTGCTATGGTTTAGAATTGAAGAATGTATCCCACCATACTTTGGAAACGAATTTCCTTTAGAAAAGATTTCCACCCCGATTTTTAAGAAACCAGTAAATACCTAGTATGATTGGAGAAACTTTGACTTGGCCTGCATTCAGAAGGAACACAAAGGTATCTTCATTGACAGCATCTATGTAATTATGAATCATTAAACTAGGTTGACCAAACATTTTTCACCATTGACTCTAATCACTGGTATAATGTATAAGGCAGTCTATATGCTAAAACTGTTAAATTGAGATAAATGAAGAAATGCTCAATCTTAAAAAATACATATGTGTTTCCTTAGTTTTTCCTAAAATATCATTAACCAGGTAATAGACGTGCTGTTGACACTATTCTATACCAAATCTACCATAACAGTATGGTGAACATTCTGTGATATATTCATAAAACAAATACCAGTTTCACTGTATGCTAAATGTAACATGACTTTTATTTAAAAATAAAACAAAAACATTGCATCATACAAAAAACAAAATATCCCTCTTATATCAAGACATTCATGCTATAAAACAAATGAAAAAGATCTAGTACATATATAACCAAAGTTTCTTAAATATTATGACATAAAAATCACTTTGTCAGAAATGTGGCAATGCAGCTGAAAATCAGTTTCAACAAAGTTCTGTCTTGAGAGATTGCCAGTACATTAGATCATGTATGTAACTAGTGTTTCTCTCGACGTTTAGAATGGTAGACAGTTAGTCAGTTGGATACAATACATGTATGAAATTACCAGAACTTTAAACATTTCAGGATCAATGAAAACTATACGTCCAGAAAACTACGTAACATACATATCCAATTCACAAACATTACTTAACACCCAACATGGTTACCTGTTATGTATGTCTAGTCCACATGGTTACCAGTGATGTATGTCTAGTCCACATGGTTACCTGTGATGTATGTCTAGTCCACATGGTTACCTGTGATGTATGTCGAGTCCTCATGGTTACCTGTTATGTATGTCTAGTCCACATGGTTACCTGTGATGTATGTCTAGCCGAAATGGTTACCTGTGATGTATGTTGAGTCCTCATGGTTACCTGTGATGTATGTCTAGTCCACATGGTTACCTGTTATGTATGTCTAGCCGAAATGGTTACCTGTTATGTATGTCTAGTCCACATGGTTACCTGTGATGTATGTCTAG